AAGTATTTTAAAATCATAAGTGAGGCGTAGGGAAATAATTATTAATCAGAGCTCCCACTCAGACTTGGCTCATAAGATTTATGTACAAAAATAAATAATTGCCAATTGAAAATGGTTCCATGAGAATTAAGTTTAGCCTAGATTGATGAACTTTAATTATGTTTGTAATTACATAATGTAAACAAATTGCGTTTCATGATAAATCAGACCATTTTAGCACAGTTCTATGATTTTCACTCTCACTTTGATTATAGGCACATGTACTTAAAATCTCAACCGACTAGATCACACCAACAAAAATTGGTTACCTTGTGCCAAAGTTCTGAGACTTATTGCTGAGCCAAATTATTTTATAATTACAACATCAAATGAAACTAAATACAACTTGAATATTTTAAATACCTATAAAATACTGTAACTGGAACTTATAAAGCAATTGTACATTACACTGATCCACCCAGTAATCTTATATGGAGCGGAAACGTGGCTGCTAAAAAAATCTGACGAAAATAAAATTTAAATAATGGAAAGAAAGATATTGCGGAAAGTCTATGGACCAATTAAGGATAACAACAGCGGTGAATGGAGAAGGAGAAAAAATACAGAACTGGAAATATTATTCCAAAATACAACCATATCAGAAGTGATAAAAAAACGAAGACTCCAATGGGCAGGCCAGGCTTGGAGGACCCATAATGAGCTAATTAGAGCAGTATTAGAACAAAACCGCGAGGAAAAAGACCGCTGGGAAGACCCAAAACAAGATGGGAAGACGTAGTTAAAAATGATGTACAATCGTTAGGAGGAGGAACAAATTGGAAAGAAAGAGCAATGGATAGAGAAGAATGGAGGAACGAGTGTGAGATGGGATGGTCTTGAAAGGCCTTTAACCAGAAAGAAGAAGATGAAATACTGTAAACACTATAAAATATAATGAGATATGAAATTTGTCAAGAAAATTATATTATGCTTATATATTTTCCTAATCATTGTTCAAGAATGGGTGACCATGACAATGACAGTACACTGATAAATGGAAATATTAAAAATTCCAGTCATTTATCTCACTTATAAGATTTAAAGAAAATATCCATAGCTGAAATATGTTATCACACACAGGTTACAT